GTAGTCAAAATAGCCTGGTACTGGTATAACAACAGATACGTAGACCAATGGAACAGAATTGATAATCCAGGCATAAATTCATCCACTTATAAGCAGCTGATATTTAACAAAGGCCCAAAGTTCATTAAGTGGGGAAAAGACAGTCTCTTTAACAAATGGTGCTGGCATAAATGGATATCAGTCTGCAAAAAATTGAAACAAGACCCATACCTCAACCATGCACAAAAACTAACCCAAAATGGATCAAAGACCTAAATCTAAAATCTAAAATGATAAAGATCATGGAAGAAAAAACAGGGACAATGCTAGGAGCCCTAATACATGGCATAAACACAATACAAAACATTACTAACAATCCACAACCAGAAGAGAAACTAGATAAATGGCAGCTCCTAAAAACCAAACGTTTATGCTCATGAAAAGACTTTACCAAAAGAGTAAACAGACAACCTACAGACTGGGAAAAAATTTTGGGGTATGATAAATCCGATCAGGGTTTAATCTCTAAAATCCACAAGATACTGCAAAACCTCAACAAAAAGAAAAATAACCCAGTTAAAAAATGGGCAAAGGATATGAACAGGCACTTCACCAAAGAAGACATTCAGGCAGCTAACAGATACATGAGGAAGTGGTCATGATCATTAGCCATTAGAGAAATGCAAATCAAAACTACAATGAGATACCTTCTTACCCCACCAAGGCTAGCATTAATCCAAAAACACAAAACAAATGCTGGAGAGGTTGTGGAGGGACTGGAACACTTATACACTGTTAGTGGGAATGTAAAATGGTACAACCAGTTTGGAAACCGATTTGGCGCTTCCTTAAAAAGCTAGAAATTACCATACGATCCAACAATCACACTCCTTGGAATGTATCGTAGAGAAATAAGAGTCATCACACGAATAGATATTTGCACACCCATGTTCAATACAATACACCACAATAGCAAAAAGATGGAAACAACCTAGATGCCCACCAGCGGACAAATGGATAAACAAACTATGGTATATACACACAATGGAATACTGTACAATGATAAAGAACAAGGATGAATCCTCGAAATCTCTCATAACATGGATGAATCTGGAAAGCATTATGCTGAGTGAAATTAGTCACAAAAGGATATTGTATAAAACCACTATTATAGAACTCAAGAAAAGGTTTAAACACAGAAAACATTCTTTGATGGTTACGAGGGTGGGGAGGGAGGGAGAGGGGTATTCACTAACTAGGAGGTAGACAAGAATTATTTCTGGTGAAGGGAAAGACAGCACACACTAAAGGGGAAGTCAGCACAACTGGACTAAACCCAAAGCTAAGAAATTTCCTGAATACAACCAAACATTTCGAGGGACAGAGTAGCAGGGGCAGGGGTCTAGGGACCATGGTTTCAGGGGACATCTAGATCAACTGGCATAACAAAGTTTATTGAAATGTTCTGCATCCCACTTTGGTGAGTGGCATCTGGGGTCTTAAAAGCTAGCAAGCAGCCATCTAAGATGCATCAATTGGTCCCAATCCACCTGGAGTAAAGGAAAATATAAACCCAAGAGACAAAAGGGCTACATAAACCAGAGACTCCATCAGCCTGAGACCAGAAGAACTAGATGGTGCCCAGCTACCACCAATGACCACCCTGGCAAGGAACACAACAAAGTCCCCGACAGTCACAAGAAAAGTGGGGTGCAGAACTCAAATTCTAGGAAAAAAACCTGACTTAATGGTCTGAGACTGGAGGGACCCTGGAACACATGGCCCCGGATTCTGTTAGCCCAAAACTAAAACCATTCCCGAAGCCACCTCTTCAAAGATTAGACTGGGCTGTAAGACATAAAATGATACTTGTGAAGAGTGTGCTGCTTAGCTCAAGTAGCTACATGAGCCTAAATGGGCAGCTCCTGTCTGGAGGCGAGACGAGAAGGCAGAAAGGGACAGGAGCTGGTTCAATGGACATGGGAAATCTGGGGTGGAAAGGAGGAGTGTGCTGTCACAGTATAGCGAGAGCAACTAGGGTCACATGATGTAAAAATTTTTGTATGAGAAACTCGAAGTGTAAACTTTCACTTAAAGCACAATAAAAAACAGGTACTCAATAAATCCCTAGACACGCATGTTCAAAGCAGCACTATTCAGAATAGCCATAGTAGAAACAATTCAAATGTCTATCAACAGATAAATTGTTGTATATACATTAAAAAAACAACCCATTGCCGTCAAGTTGATTCTGACTCATGGTGACCCCATGTTTTACAAAGTAGAACTGCTCCACAGGGTTTTCTTGGCTGTAATCTTTATGGAGATCACCAGGCCTTTCTTCTGCAGTGCCATTGGGTGAGTTCCACTACCAACCTTTAGGTTAGCAGTGGAGTGAATTTGTGCCACCTTGGCATATACATACAATGGAATATTATTTAGCTCAATAGAGAGATCAGGGCTAAAATGTGTAACTTAATTTTTTGGATTTGCCTTCTAAATGACAGAAACTGTTTTCTTTGTAAATTCAGCATCCAGAAGTGTGTCCTAAGGAATATTTGTGAAATGAGCGAGTGATGGCAAAGTGTGTAAGGTAAAAAGAGAAATAAGCACTGTAGGGTTTCACTGGATGTCCAAGCATCTAAACATGGCTTACAAGTAGGGTGACCTTAAGTTCTGATTTGCTCAGGACAATCCTGGCTTACACCTATTGTCTCCACGTAATTACTACCATCAATTTGTACAATAAATTGTGTGCTCACTCTTTGTAGAAGGGGGGGAAAAAGGAATAAAAATCATGCAATTCTTTCAATACAACTAGCTTAATAAACACATCTTGGCAATTAAAAAAAATCTACTTAATGAATGCAACTGCTTATTCTCAGAAGTTGCATCGATAACAATCTTTTATTCTTACGCCTTAAGCATAAAGATTAATCACATCTCATCCTTTTCCCTTTCATTTTATGAATACAGACTTTAGAATTTCAAGAGGATATGAAAAGTTATCTACTCTCACTGCTCTTCCAGTGCAAACACGCATTGATGACATGGGAGACAGCTGGTCACATGCCTCCCATTGGCTGTCTAAATAGGGCAGTAGCATCACCAAATCCTCAGAAATGCACTATTTGATCTTACTGGGGGAAATAAAATCTTTTGTTAAAGATTAAGAGTAGCACAGTGGAATGAAGTAACTGAAGATATGTTGTCTCTTGAATTAGTCTTCTGTTGCTGTGCAACACAATGTGTGATATATTCTAATATAACTTTTGCTCATTTAACAGTAAGTCCAAGAAAATAGGGCTTAACAGTATCAAAAAACAAAATAGAGATCCCATCCCCAAAAAAGAGACTTAGAAAGTTTTAAAAAGCATGTTTATGTGACTGCACATAAATGTTTGTGTAAAAAGGGCATTATGACAGTTGATACCACAAAGATTACAGTAAGAAAAAGCACTTTATGACAATATTTCACAAATTCACAAGAATCACTTCAATATACAAAGCAATTGCTACCATTCTGAACACAAAGCAGCTAATATGTACACAGTGTTAATAAAATGCATTGTAACTCAGTACGTTTTTTTTCTCTTTACACAGATAAAGCACAAAAAGATTCAGATAAAAAAATTAAAACAGGGATGTTTCTAGAATGTAGGGAATTTTATTAGAAATGTATTTCCCTCATGTTTATTATTCAACTCCAATAGAAACATCAGAGTTAAAATCAATACCCTGTTTTGTGCTGATAGTTTTGGGGGGAGGTATTCTTTACCTCAATCCTTGAGGAAAAACCCAAAAACCAAACACCTTTCTCTCTAGAAACTTCCCTGATTATTTTGTTTCTAAAAAGTTTTAAGTGATACACCTGGGTTAGAAGTAATTGCTTTGGAGAGGGGGATGACAACTGACGTGGACAAATCAGTTAGGGACATCTTTACATGGAAAACTGCTGACTAGCACTCTTCTTTGCCACCCCTAATAAATCTATACTCACAGAAAAATGTTGACAAATTATTTCCCAATTTTAATATAAATAATTTTATTACATACACAAATTGGAGTGGCACCTGGATAAAAATACAACATCTATAAAGCATTTACCATTCAATTTTAAAAACATAAGAAAATAAAACCTTCCAAACACAATGATTGATCATTTCACTTGGCCAACGAACATAAGATCATTAACGTCAGGGATTTTCTTCCTTCCCTATCAATTTTTAAAAGTATCTCAGATTTACTCTCACATCTCTGCGATGCTCCTCAGTTGGACAGAAGCTTGAAAATGTCATAGTTCCATAACAAGTATTAAATAATGCCTGTGTAAAGTAGGTAAAATTTGAATTTCCTACTGTTAGACCTTTTTCAAAGACATTTCCTGAGGATTGTTCATTTTCCGTTTACTTGCTGGTGAGAATAATTCAACACGTATCATGTTATACCCCAGCTAGGACCTGCACCCACAGTACCAGAATGCAGATAGGTCAATATTTTCTCTCTGTGCTAAACAACTCTGCCTGTTTATAGTATCAACTTGCTTCACAGGCTTTGTTCTATTTTTTTATTATTTTTTTCTTTTTTTAAAAAATAAATTTCAAGTTAAAACACCTGAAATAGGATCCCTCCATTCAAACATTGTCTGGTCCCTCTTAAAGTTTGTCTGCCCCCTGAGGACACATACAAAGGCTTAAGCTACATTCACTAATCAATAAGAACTTATCATAAGCATATGAGACAGATGGAACTTCAGCACCCTGTTTGATTTATTTGAAATTTTTCTTCCATACTGGCTCAGCTTCATGATATGTTCAAACCCCTCAAGGATTAGTGCCTCTCCTAGCCATTGATTCTAGAAAGTCAAGGAAACCAGTTCCTAGTACATACGGTGACTGTGCAGTCAATTTTTAAAAGTCAACATTAACAATATTCAAGATATATCCAAGCCACCCAATGAAAAGTTCTAGTTGTGCTTTGTCCAACCAAGTGAACAAATTTATCCCACAATTCTTCACCTGCAGGCTTACTAAGCACACTTCACTTTCCCCTTCATGTGAAATCAGTTTAATTTAGGCAGCACTTCTCTGATGTTAACAAAGCCAATTTAAAATGAAAGAAATTTAGTCAAATGATTGTATGTGGTTTCCATGATGACAATAATTAATTGCTCTAAAAAATATTTTACAGTTCTGGACAAATTCATTACTGAGTCAGAATCCACTCGACTGCAACGGGTATAGACAGTATTAATGTTGGGGTGAGAACTAAAGTCTCATTTAAAACTGGAAATAAATATTATTCGAGTTACTTTTCCCTCTATCCATGATGAAAAAAGAATAAAATAGGATTCAAGTCCATCTTTTAATTAATTGGGTTAGTCAAATCTAATTTCTTATTTATTTTTTTAAACTATTTTTAAGGCTAGCCTTTAGGTGCTAAAATATTTTAATCAATGAAAGGATCCATTAAAAAAGTTACATGATTTGAAGGGAGGAGAAAGACACAAAGTCAGCTGACCATTAATTGATGAGGGAATTTCTCAAGTTGCTAATGCCCAAACTGGGTCATTTTAAAAAGTGCAAGTTATACCAAACATTTACAAAGAATATAATGTAAATATAATCCAAATAAATATACAACTTTTGTATTAGGTCAATGGGAAACAATATACCAACAGTATTCAGGGCTATAATGGCAACAAAATAAAGCCTCTTGAAAATAACTGAAAAGGTGTGTAACCACTGTTTCTAAAACTTATTTTAATTAGAAATCTTAGCGATATTAGCCTTATTTAACCCTGCAAAATGAAGCAGGCATTTGATTTTCAAAATAATCAGAGACCAATATATTCTGATAGTTGACTGTAGCTAATCACAGAATTAGAAACACATTCAACATGAAAAGAAGAAATCTAAATTGAAATCATTTCAAGTTAAGTAAACTTCTTGGTTTAAACAAACTTGTTCCTTCCTAAGCCTTTGTATGATTCCACGTATCATCCCAAATGGTCAAAATGACAGTAGGGATTAGGCCTGAGAGACAGAGATAAACTTCAGCCAGATGACTTCTGGTCGGACAGCCTGTCTGACTGGTATTGTGCTTTCAGATACTAGCACTGCTGCTGACCTACCACCAAAACACATTTTCAGACAAAATCCCTGCTCAAATGAAACACCAAAATCCCTCCCCCAGGATGATTTTCGTAAAATCAGTGGTTCCTTTTAAAGTCTATCTTCAAAATGTTCTCACCATTATAGCTGCCAGAGACAAAGCATAAAAACCAAATACTTTTGGGGGGAAGTTTTCAAGTGACTAGTAACATATTTAAAAGTATCAAGCCAAAGAAAACAATAATAAAAAATACTTGGAAGGAAACTATTAGATAATCATGAGTGCTGGAGTAACGCAGTCCAAGAAACTGCCAAAAGGGATGCAGTAGAACACACAAAAATGTAAAATTTCATCTGATCTCAATATACTATAATACTCAGCATTCCTGACTTACGAGCTCTCAGAGCTCCAGATTATATACTGTGTAAATATATATACATGTACACATACATTATACAAATGGCATTTTCCCCAAGAATATCTAAATGAAAAGAGCACCTATGACAATATTATTGTTGCCAATATGGTACTTGAGTTTGAAAAACTTAAATGTATCTGATATCAATTTTTTAATAATATGAACACATTGGATCTAGCCCTTTCTAAAACCACTTTTCAGTTAAACACTATCAAAGCTTGAAAACTCATTAAGAGTAATGTATCAAAAATAAACCCCTCCCCACTTCGTTTTTATTAGAGTTAATCTGTTCTATAGATAAAAGTGCCACATGGCCCTATATTTGTAAAGTGAGTGATACCAAACTTGCTATTTTCTAGAGCAAATCAGTAGCATATGTACAGATTCCTATGATGACATTTTCATTCCCTTTTGGCCAATATGAAGAAAAAAACATTAGTGGTAACGTGGCCACATGTATTCTTGGCTACAAGATTTTTTTTTTTTTTATTATGTCGTTTTCTTAATAAAGCTTCTCAAAGTTGCATGCTTAAAAAACAAACAGCTTTTTTCCAATTCTCTTTTTTTAAAAAAGTCTGCACAAAAGATGCTTTATTTCTATTTGTATAAACTGAAATCTTCAAGTCTATTCAACGGTCTAAAACAGATTTAGCAACAGAATACATTTCTTACCTCACCATTAACTGACTTCAAACCAGTGCAATCATCCTCAAGATATAAAGGACCAGGTAATTAAAACTTGTAAATCCAACTAGCTAATCATGATTGTGATGGCCTTGATTTATCAGGGATTAAGAGGACTACCAACTTGTTTTCTAATTAAATAGAAAGCCTCATTTTTTGAAAAACACATTAACTTTAGAGAATAAAACTTGCTAAACACCAGGCAATTTTCATTTATAATGCTCATGACATTCAAAATGTTCAATTTGACATTTTGATTCAGTAAGAGAGAATTCTACTTTGTGAACAGATCTGTGATTTCACTCGATATTTATGCTGGTATACAATTTTTATGCTATAACTTTCCCCATTAGCTCAGCAGGATAAACATCAAACTTTACAGTCGTTTGAAAGCCTTCTTGAGAATCTGGTGAACTGTCCAAATATAAAGACTATATCACTTAATTCTTAGAATGATGCTCCTTCATAACCTTTGTTCATCCTTGAAAAAAGATAATGGTTTGTTACAAACAAAAATATATCATTTATAAATATTAATTAAAAGTCTTACTTTTCAAAATGGACCCAATAATTAATATAACCCATACCTGTATATTTTGTTATCATGTTAACAAACTTAACTTTTAACTTTAAACCCACAACTCCATATAAAACATTAACTTTTCACATTTCTTGACTCTTTTAAAAGTAATTCTATTCTCAAATGAGATATTATAATCAAATACTGTCAGTCTCCAATTTTTTAAATCTACCTTAGTATTTTTCTTTTAAAGGATAACTTTTAGGTTTATCAGGCTTAGTGAATAAAATGTGTAATTAGTAATTAATTGTAGTATTGGAAACAATATATGATACACACAGATACAGACTGTTACAGTCAGGAGTTAAAATCGGTAGCCATGACAAAGGTTACATAGTGTAACGGAAAGCTAAAACATAACTACCCTTTTTAGGAGAAAACAAAGTTTTATGTGAATGACAATCCAAATGTTGCAGTATAGAAGCCATTAAATGTGTCTAAAGAAAATTACTTTCCCTGTGCGTATCTAACACCGTACTTTTTAAAACTCATTTAAAAAATTCACTTGAGATACTCTTACAGTATGTTAATGTGGGAAAGATTTAAAATCAGTATTTTTCTACAACCCGTAACATTTCATAAACAAATATATCACTTGGCTTTATTTAACATCTTGAAGGCTTTCCTGGTGGTGGTACAATGTAAGTGAAAAGGGGAACAGTATAATTAGAAATGTCTTTTTAAGTAAATGAGTGACAATATAAATATTTTTGAAGGTGAGGACAAAAGCATTTATTTAAAAACCTTGTTATATTACGCAAGGGGTTGGTTTACTAATGAGCATCTTTTTATTATGAATTTAGTACTAACTAAAACAAAAGCTTTGTACTTTTATGTCCTTCGATTTAATTTAAAATTCAAATAATCATGCTTGTACGTTCAGTTGGTTACTTCTTTTTAATGTATTCAAAATGATGAACACACACAGAATTGAATTAAGAAGCAACAACTGACCTACGGAAGAGCTGTAGTTAGTACAGAATATTTTAAAGGACCAAGGATAAGTTTTCAGTATCGAGGAAGAGAAGGTACACAGAAAACACTCCAAATTCATTCCTCATTTGTTCAACACCATACTAAAATTCTTTTTTAGAGGGCATTTTTCTTAACAATTTTACATAATTCACAATGAAACTGTGAAAAACATGTCAATTGGCAATCAACACTTCTTCATTGCACCTTACTTACTTTATGCACGCGGCCCACGCATTACTTCAGCTCAAGAGGCTGGATAATTCTGTCCCTAAGGCAATCAAGGAGCTCAGCACAAACCTTGAAATCATTTTTAAAAAAGATTTTCTTTTCCTCATTTCCCCCCATCAGTTTGCAAGTAAACAAATTATTACTTCTTGAGGAGGGTGGGGGTTGAAAAGCAGAGTCTCTTCATGATTCCTGGTGCTGAAAATTTCTTGAGGGGAGAAGTGGAGGCAGGTGTTGAAACATTCACAGTTTAATGCAAAAGCACAAATGAACGAAATTCTGTAGTTGCTTTCAGGCAGTTTTGCGCATAGAAAAAAAGAAATGTTTAGAAAATAAAATGTTTATTTTTGTTTTTCTGGTTGTGGCCAAGCCAGTCCTTTTTTCCACCTTAAGTGGTGAAAATAAATCCCAAATTAATCTGATTTGTGGCAGTAAAGGTCCTTAAGTGCTTTTAGCTCTTCAATCAGTGTCTTGTTTTGGTTTTCAAGCACTGCCACTCTGTTTTCTAAACATTTCACATATTCCTTCTTCTTTCTACGACACTCTCGTGCTGCTTCCCTACAAATGAAAAAAGGACAGTAAAAATTATCATGCAACAATACTGTATCATTTATTTTGGATTGGGTAGAGTATTTTTTTTTAGAAAATTACCTCAAAGCAGCAAACATTTGTATGTATTACACAGCAGTCATTTGAAAAGATACATAAAATGACTTGGAAACTGCCTTACTATGATTAAAAGAAGTATCAGACACCACAGAAGTTTGATTTTTTTAAAAAAAGAAAACCCCAAAAACAATTTTTTTCTTTTTTTTTTTTTTAATTGTACTTCAGGTAAAGGCTTACAGAACAAATAGCTTCTCATGAAACAGTAGTACACATATTGTTTTATGACATAGGTCAACAACCCCACAACATGTCAACCCTCTCCCTTCTCGACCTTGTTTTTTTGGTGAAAATATACATAGCCAAAGATACACCACCTCAAAAACCTCTACATGCACAGTTCAGCGACACCGACTACGTTCCTCCAATTGCTCCCCAAAAAGAGTTTTAAAAAAAGCCAAATAAACATTTAAAAATTACACCTCCCACTGTTAATTAAAACGTTCTGCATCATATCTATAAAACTTGAAATTCTATGTCAATAAAAAAAATACCAAGGCTAAATTTGGTGTGAAAACATCCCTTAAATAAAAACTCATTATTTCAGGACTGTTATGGATTGAACTGTGTTCCCCAAAATATGTGTTGGAATCCTAACCCCTATACCTGTGGATGTAAAGCACTAATGTACTGACCTTCCATAATGCAATCTGATCTTATGTTAATGAGGCCATACTTGGGCAGGGTGTGTCCTAAACCTAATCACTTTTGAGTTATAAAAAGAGTAGACACAGAGACAGGCACATACTGGGGAAGACAGATGCCACTGGAGAAGAACCAAGGAACACTTGGGGCTACCAACAAGAAGGAATCACAAAGCCAAGACCCTGATTTGGATCGCTAATCTCCAGAACTGTGAGAAAATAAATTTGTTCTTTAAAGCCACCCAGCTTTTGGTATCTGTGTTACAACAGCATTAAATAACGAAAAGAAGGACATTAAAAAATCTAACAGATTAAAAATATTTTTAAAAATTGATTTTTTAGCAAGCTACTAAGTGTAAACTAGTAAACTCTTCTTTAGCTTGATATGGGCAAGGGCCACATCTTATTCTTTATATCCTTGGCCAGTAGCACAGGGCCTGCCTGGCATACAGCAGGTACTTCTTGTTGAATGAAGATGGAAGTTGAAAGGAAGAAGGTTCTAACCTTTAAAAAATTGAAAAAAGCAGCAATTTACAATCACTCATTTAGAACAGAGGCGGTGTAATGTGGCAATTAAGAGTAGTGTCTTCAGAGTCAGATTCCTGGGTTTTGAGTTGTCAACGGGTTTGGTTTTTTGGGTTATCCCTTACCAGTTATGTGACCAAGGGTAGGTTACTTTAGTTACCAGACTGTATAAATGGAAATAATAATATTACCTATCTCAAAAGGTTTATCAGGATTAAATGAATATACAAAAAGCACATGAAATAGTGCCTGGCATTTTGTAAATATGTGTTAGCTATTATTTCTAGAAAACACAAATGGGTGTATAGTATAATTTCATTAATGTCTTCATCCCCACAGTCTATCAATTCAAGTAAAAGAAGCATTTCATTCTAATACAAGCTGATTTTTGGAATTGAAAAAACAAACAAAAAACCTGCATATTATGTTGTATTATCCACGAAAGAAAGAAATGGACAATATATGACCCACTGCATCACTCTACAACTGGAGAAAATCTCTTTGGAAATGGCTTAAAAAGGCCCAACACTCCATTGAGCAGTGAAGAAGACAAGCTGAGAGGTGCTATGAGGCCAAGAAGGAAATGATGATCTAAAGGATGATAGAGGGAATGATTCGGAGGCCAATTTGGATATTCTGAGTTTGGTGAGTTCTAACAGTATAGAGAGGATGTAGGATGCATGTACACTTAACAAACAACCTTATTTCAGTCAAGGTTGATAGTCTTTTTCCCTTGTTTTCTCCTCTCCATCATTCGGTAGTTTATCAAAGGCTAAAGAGGAGACACAACGGTGAGAGAGAAAGGAAGCCTAAATAACAGTCTGAATATAAAACAAAATTTCATGTTAACGAGACCTTTTCTTTCACACATAAACTTTGGTAACTCTAGTTTTACAAATTTACAACCCATAAGCAGTGTCCATATAAATGCTATATCTATATGCTAGTTTCCAAAGTTAAACTGGTATGATCCTCTACACGTTACCTCCCAACTTTGTTCCACCAAAATTAGTACACTATAATGTTGTGAAAGATTGTGTGTTCCTCAAAAGAAAAAAACAATGGGCTAAGAAAATGCACTTATTTCTCTAATGTGAGATCTCTTGGGTCCTTTCAATGTAAAAAAGGGAACTGAGACTCTTCCTAGAGAGGAATTCTATGTAGCATGTCCCAAACTTAGATTTACAATATTATTTTAGTGGAGAACACTGAATATATTCAAGTAACAGTGTCTTACAGAGTTAGATTTACAAATGATGCTCAAGTTAGAGTTTAAAATAAGCATATTTCGATACAAATTTAATACAATATGGATACACTAGTAAGAGTTTGAAACTGGGGATCAGGGAACTTAGGTTCAGATCCTGGCTTTGACACAAACTACACTGTACAGCTTCCAGCAAGTCCCTTCCTATTCAGGGACTCTTTACTCATCTGTCTTTTGTTTTTGTTTTTGAAAGACTAATCAATATGTCCCAAACCAAGGTATAGTTTAATTCTGTATTGAGTATGCAAAGCCAGGGAATAAGCTGGCATGTCATTCTAAAGCATCAATTTTAATGGATGGGGCAGGGGAAGAATTTTCATATTAAAATAAACATTACTGTATTTTGGAGTTGGAGCACTGGTGGAACAATGGTTAAGAGCTCAGCTGCTAATCAAAAGGTTGGCAGTTTGAATTCACCAGCCCTACCGGCAGTTCTACTCTGTCCTATAGGGTCACTATGAGTCGGAATCAACTCGATGGCAATGTGTTTTGGTTTAATGGGCTGGTCTGAGGACACAGTGTGAAGATTAAACTGACCTCTAAAATCCCTTTCAGGACAGAAATAGTATTTTATGATTCCAGGCATTACTGCAGATGGTGTATAAATTCTGAAATTGATTTGAAAGACATATTTTTAGAAAAAAGTTCCTTCACATAATGTGTTTCAACATCCTTCTCCCACATTTACTAAACTAATTTTTTGCCTCTACGTGTTTCACTTGTCCCTTCCCCTTTTCAACCTTCAATCTTTCTATACTATGGGCTTGTTCTCTGTTGCTTTCAAGTTTGTGTAGGTCATTCTAGTCTTCATTTACATGAATTGTATTAATTTAAAAATATGTGTACTGACACTGGCTTCTGCCCCTGGATGTAGAGCGCTCGGAGTGTCACTCCTTCCCTTAAAATGAAAAAGAGGATTAACTTAAAATTCATGAACTTTTTCAAGCCGATCAGATAGCGGAGGCTGCACAGTAAACGACTGACCCAAAATTTATGGAGACAGTGCCTTAGGAAGGGAGGAGACACAAATACAACCTCACCTGGAGTAGATGCGTCCAGACAATGGTCAGAAGAGTTTACCTAGAATGGGTGAAAAAGCCAGAGTGCAGACTGGTAGGAGTCTACATGCTCTTGTAACCTTTTTCTACATAAACCTCACTGGACACTCATAGAAATGACTGCAAAGAGTCCTAAGATGTATCCGTTGTGGTGCAGACCTGGGGGAGGGAACAGCAGCTGATTGGGATGAGAAACTCCATTGGGATCCTATCTCTACTACAGAACTGTGGGGGGAAGGGCAGCAATACCAGCCTTTGGGGCACTGGTGAACACCCAATGCATTTGGAGGAAACGCAGGGGGACCCTACTCACTTGTCAAAAGGACACAGAAGCCAACTTGTAAGAGCTCTCAATGGCCAAAGCTGGAATAATCTGAACGTAATAACGAAGGCACTGGATTAAAATAATAAAAGAATAAAGTAAATATCCTCGAACCCATACTGATATAAATAAATAAATGGAGAAGGGATAAATTTTCCTTATAGAAGAACGAGGAAACAGAAAATCTCCATTAGAACACCACAGTAATACTTACTACAGGTAAGATTCACTGACGAATTAGTTGGCAAAACTTTAAGAAGAAATGGTATTTGCATAGCCTAAAAGTATCTACCCCAAAATACACTAATTACTGTGGTGGTTTTAACATATGACCACAAATTCTTTCATACTCTCCCCTCTAGCTTAATCCCCCTGCCTTGAATGTGAACTGGACTTGGTGTCTTTGCTGCTAAGAAAGAGAGTATAAAGAGGGAAAAATGGTAACTCTACAGTGGAGAAACTGGATACCACTTTAACCAAGTACTCAAAGTTAACATCACTAGTATTAAGTCATGCTGACATGTACTCCGTGATAATGATGTGATGAAGAAGGGCACTCAACATCTCTGTGGTATTCTCCCCACAAAATCCATAACCTCAGTTTAATCATAAGAAAACATGAAATAACCCAAATTGAGGAATGTTCTGAAAAATATCCTGACCACTACTCTTCAAAAGTGACAAGGCCATGAAAGATCAGGAAAGAGAAAATGAAAGAGAATGCGTATCTGAAACTGTACTATTTTTATAACTCTTCTGTAAATTTAAAATTATTTCCAAATAAAGTTTAAACTATATATTTAAAAATGTATATTTATCTTTGTATATATACAGACAGTATTAGGGGAAACTCCAGAATGTTAACATTTTGGATGGTGAAACTAGAGATGATTAAACTTTTAGCTTATGTTTCCTAATTATAAGGAACATGTTTTACTTCTGTAATAAAAATATATCAAAATGAGTTAGTAATACACATATTTTTTGGTAACCTGCTTTTCCCTTCTATGAACATCTTTTCATCTCAATAAAAATACATCTTTCTTCATTGTTAATGGCTAGTTGTCTATGGATGA